CAATAATCCAGGTAGAAAAATCTAAAAAAGTTAAATCTGGTCCTCTGTCCAGAGGACCAGATTTAACTTTTTTAGATCTCGTTTGACTTGTTCAGCTGTTTATTCTTGGCCTGTGATGTGCTTGTTGAGGATGCCCTTTGCAACTTCGAGGGCAGCATCACTTGATGTGGGAATATGAGGTGTGATACCAGTCCCCTCCCAGGCTGGCCCTGTTGCAGTATCTGAACAGACTGTGGGGATGCTGAGAAAGATGTCACTCTGGCCAACATGAAACACCTTTGGTGGGTGGGAAGCCCCGGCAGTGTTCTCTCCAACTATCATAGCACGGCCCAGTTTTTTCATAATGTAAATGAACTCTTCAGCAGCACCTGAAGTAGCTTTGCTGGTTAAGATGATCAGACTTTTCCTGGAGCCATATCTTGTGCCTGGAAAAAAAAAATATGATGAGGGATTCTAAAGCTAACAAACATTAAAGGGATAAATCAGAATTTTGTAAGTAGCTCTTTGAACAACCTCAGTTTGGAAAAATAGTGGAATTAAAACCATGTTTATTTGGCCAAGTATGTATTTTTTATATACAAGGACTTTAAAATCAAATCAAATTTATTCATATAGCACATTTAAAAACAACTGTCACTGGCCAAAGTGCTGCCCATAATATAAATATTGAGAAGTCAGTACAAAACAGGAGATCATAAAACATAGAAGAATAAAATATAATCTAAAATGAGATAAAAACATAAAATAAAACCAATAAAAGAGGCAGTGAATAAATAGATAAATAAAAGGTCAACTTTCATGTTGTATTAAAAGCCAGTGAGTACAAATGTGTTTTAAGATTAAGCTTAACACGCTAAACACTAAGATTGTAAAACAATATGGCGTATCAAAAAATTATGTCACTCTTGAAGTGGATGAACACTGATATCGTCTATTTACAGGAGACCCACGTGTGTTCTGCAGACAGTGGAAAGTTTGTTTAAAAAATGGTCTGGTCAGGTGTTTCAATCCAATTTTCAGTCCCGATCAAGCGGGGTAGCTATTTGAAGAGTCGTGGCACAGAGGTTAGAGAAGGTGGTCCTGTGATCGGAAGATTGCTGGTTCAACTCCCAGTACTGACAACATCAAAATGTGGGTGGGATAGGTGAAGCACCCACACCTGTCTCTACCCTCATTTGCCCCACTCTGGGCCCTTGAGCAAGGTCCTTAACCCCCACCATCTGCTCCTCCGGTTGCTCTAGATGGCAGCTCTGCTCAATACAGAGGGCTGTGGTAGCTCATGATCTGTGGTTGCATCAGGAAGGGCGTCCGGCGTAAAAATAATTGCTAAGTCTTTGTGCGACTTAGTTCAATGTGGTGACCCCAGACAGAGGGAATAGCTGAAATAAAAATCAAGAAGGGTAGCTATTATGGTTGGCAAGCAGGTACAGTTTACAGCCTTGAGTGTGCATGCTGATACTGTTGGGCGGTATGTTATAGTGGTGGGGAAGTTGTATACACTGCCAGTGATCTTGGTTTCATTATATGCTCCCATGATGACTCTACATTTTTTATAACCTTTTTTCAAACATACCAAATATGTCAACACATAACCTTATAATTGGTGGTGACACAAATTGTGTGCTTTCATCTCTTGATTGTAGTTTGATGGGAAAAACTACTCTGACTAAGTCCGCTCACTCAGTCAATTCATTCCTTGACTCTTATGGCGTGGCTGATGCGTGGTACTTCCATAATCCTATTTTAAGATCCTACTAATTTTTCTCCCCACTTCACAAGACGTACTCCTGAATTGACTTTTTTTTTCTTGATAAATGAACTCTGCTTTTGGTAAAAGAATGTGACTATGGGGCCATGGTCATTTCAGACCATGGTCAACTTATGAAACTGCTTATCCCGGTCACAAATTCAGTATATTATCCGTGGAGATTCATCTCCTTACTTTTTTCTGAGTAAGACTATCAAATTTCTTAAATCTGAAATTAACATTTTTCTTGAAGTTAACTGAACACCAGGAATGCCACTTTGTACTGTCTGGGAGGCATTAAAGGCCTACCTGAGTGGTCAGATAATTTTTTATTGTGCAATCAAACAAACAAAAAAGAAAGGGTTTGGTACGGCTAGGACAGTTAACAGATGAGATATTACAATTAGACAGAGAATATAGCCACTCCCCATCACAGGATCTAATGAAAAAAATGTTTGTTACTCTTAACTGAATTTAATACCTTGTCAGCAGGCAGAATATTTATTCTTTAAATCTAGACAGGGTTACTATAGACACGGTGAAAGGGCTGGGTATCTGCTTGGTGCATCATCTATGGCAGCAGTCAGCCAACCAAACTATATGACTGAGTCATCAGCTCCCTTATCAGACCTGATAATGTTTTAAAAGATCTTAAACGTCCTTCAGTGAATCTTGATCCTGCTGGGGATTTGGAGAGGGAGTTCTATGCAGCTGAGATAATCTCCGCAATCAACGATATGCAAAATGGGAAATCCCCTGGACCAGATGGCTTCCCATCTGAGTTTTATAAGAAATTTTTCAGTCAGGTCATCTGGACAGTTTCTTTTTTTGTGCTGAAACGTTTCACCTTCAATCCGGAAGGCTTCATCAGTCAAGGAAACACAACAAAACTGATTCTTCCTCCAACAGCTTACTCCAAAGTGGAACAAACCAGTTCTGCTTGTGATTAGATGGTCTCTTTGGTACGCCCCTCCTCCATTGCCGGCCCTCTTCCTTGTTGACAGTCTTGTCAAACTGGTTGAAAACAGCAAACTCCATGCTCAATAATCCAGGTATAAAATCCAACATTCTGGACAACATTCAGTCAGGTCCAGATGTCCTGACTGAAAAATTTTGGATTTTATACATGGATTATTGAGCATGGACTTTGATATCAGGCTATAAATTTAATCTTCAAAAGAGCGAGATGATGCTTGTGACCTCTATGGAAAAGAAAATCTTAGACACTGTTCTTTTTGAAATTAGTTTAAAAAAAAATTACTTTTACATTTGTACAGAAGTTTAATATTCTCAAGTCAGTTTTTCAGATATTTGTAGCTGAGACATTTTGTGAGGTAACTCTGATTGTTTTCTTTTATTACCCTCTAAGCATTTTGTGGTTAAGATTTTGGAATGCAGGTCTGATAGGGGAGGGCCCTCAGCAAGATCTATACACTGCTCAATTCATACCATGAGACCAGTATGGACTCCCTTAAACTTAAATGGGAAACGGACTTGAAGGAATCCATATCAGACTCAATCTGGCGAAAGATCATTAAAAACATTTACTCATCCTCAATCTGTCTTGGACGTGCTGTAATTTAATTCAAGGTAGTACACCAGCTGCACTGGTCCAAAGACAAGCTGTCCAAAATCAAAGCCAACCTGGACCCCACATGTAATCTTTGTAAACAAACTCCAGCTATGCTCCTGCATACATTCTCGACCTGTCCCAAACTGCAAACCTTTTGGCTATCTATTTTTGACACCTTCTCTGGGATATGTGGGAAAACTTTTCAGTGTGGTCCCTGTGCATACATCCTTCAGCAAGTACGAGAAGGATGGGATTGCTTTTGGTTCTCTTCTGTCCAGAAGACTTGTTTTGTGCAATTGGGAATGCCTTGGGGTCCTCCCAGAAGAGCTGGAAGATGTGGCTGTGGAAAAAGATATCTGGGCCTCCCTTCTCAAGCTGCTGCCCCAGCAACCCAACTTCAGAACAAGCGGGAAGTGCCCTCTAATTTCTCGTGATGGGAATTGAAGAAACAGAATTTTATTTTATGAGAGCCACCATGTTGTCTTTATGGAAACACTGGGGAAGTGCAGATTTATCCAAATATTGATCCTGTAAATTGCATTGTTGGGAATGCATAGGAAGTCCATGCTCAATAATCCAGGGATAAAATCCAACAATGTTCAGTCAGGTCATCTGGACAGTTTCTTTTTTGTGCTGAGACCTTTCACCTTCTGTCGAAAGGGCTTCATCAGTCTGAGAAAACACCAAACAAAACTGATTCTCCACCAACAGCTAAACCAAAGTGGAAAAAAAACCCAGTTATGTTGGTGCTAAGATGGTCCCTGGGACACACCCTCTCTTCCAGTACCTTCCCTCTCCCTTGTCGACAGATCAGAGTAATAGTTTAATTTGTCCATATATCTATTCATCTATCCATCCATTATTATTACCTCCTTTTTCCTTTCTGTATCACAAGGGTTGCTGGTGCCCATATCCAGAAATCTCTGTGCGAGAGGTGTGATACACCCTGGACAGGTCGCAAGTCCATTACAGGCCCAAACAAAACAACCGACTATTTACACTGTCAATCACATCTAGGGATAATTTACAGTTTTCAATGAGTATCAGATTTATAATATTGATTCTAAAATATGACTCACTGCTTGAAATTTAATATTTTAACATACAGCAGCAAGTTAAGAACTAAGTAAATTTACAAAAGTAAAGACGCAAGACTTAAAGTTTGTGCTGGAACCAAATGATAGGAAACATTGGTCTCTTTCTGGCTTCAACTTCTGGGGTTACATCATATGTCTATCAATATGCAGACTTTGGCTTTAGATTTTAAGAAAGTGGCCAACATTAAGAGGCTTTACCAGTAAGCTCTGACAGGGTTAGTAGCTCAGTAGTGGTACCAGATGGTCTCTCATAGAGCTTGTCCAACAGAATCTGCTTGTCCCCATCAAAGAAGTAGGAGCAGAAACCTGCAATGGCTGTTGTTGATCCTCCAAGGTTCTTCCTGCAAGTCAAATCAAAAGAAGGCAAAAAAAGAAGCATCGCAACGGTTGAAATAATTAAAAAAAACTATATATTACTGATGACATCTTCCTTAATGGTGGCAAAAATACAAATATTTCATACAAATACAAAAATAATTTTTGAACTGGTAATAATTTCTAATGTATTGATGTATACAATAAATAAAACCCCATGAATCTATCTTTAGATGTGGATCTATGATTTTCATCAGCATGAATGGGACTTTTATTTGTCAAAATGACCATACACCATGCATCATATTACTCACCTGAGGTCAATGATCATAGCATTTGTGTTGACAACTTTCTTCCAGACGTTCTCAACAATAATCTGGGCAATTGGTTTGACCTCCTCAAAGTCTCCGAACATGTCAAAACGCAGGTAGCCAATGTTGTTTTCAAATACATCAGTGTGGAAAGAGACTTTGATCAGATCAGTGTACATCTCTGGAGAAAAATGCTGTAAAATGAGCACCACTTTAGAATTTACAATGCAAGCACAACATGGAATGTAGACAAAATTTATACATGTTTTCTTATTTGCTTCAAAAATTGTATGTTTTACATTCTGTTTCCCTAAAACTGATTTTATTTATTTGAAGCTGTTACTAATTTGGTACTGACTTTCTTTAGGAAAATGCATTTTAGGTTAAAAAATTCCAATGAAAATTTTAAACATTTTATTATTTTCCCTATCCAGAACGTTTGACTTAAGCCCATATTTCACTGGGCTGCAACTGTTCATGACTAGTTGGTGAACTGCATTCACCAAGGAGTGTTCAATATGTCTTGAAATGTTTGCAAAAGTTCTCAATTTCCTCATGTGAGGCATGAAGAATTGTCACTTGTGTTTTGCATACATTCAAAAAACATTATTTTAAAATAATTTGTGCAAAATAGTCACAAATTGATTATGAGAACCTCCAGCCCAACTCAAGAGCTGTATGTGACACCTGCAAGGATCTCTCTTGGCTGAAAGCATGTTCATTACTAAAAACTCCACTGTTTATAAAATTTAAATCAACTGGTCTAAATATAGTAATATTCATTTTAAAAGCCTACTGCAATTCATTAAATCTTAAATGTACAGTTGGTACCCAAATCAAGCTAAGGCAGGTATGATAAGCAATAAAATAATGCATAAGGCTTACACTTTTGTAAGTCATGCAAATGTAAAGCTGCGTTCTATTTCGTATAGGCTTCGCCCTTTAAGAGCTGTCGCTGGTGGGTTTTATCCCCAAGGCGCTCAGTGCTGCACTGAAAACTTGAGTCCACGCCCACCTGCTGTGTGGGCCTCTCCCCCGGTCCATATAAATTACTGAGAGACCGGGAATCGGCTCCCATTTTTTCTTCAGCCAGCTAGCTAGCACTGTCAGAAGAACAAAGAAGGAAAGTTGTCCAGCTTTGACCGGCACAACCTTTGCTAAAGCTGCCTGGGTCTCCGCCACGCCAACCTCAACCCGTCCCGGTGAGCTCTTCCTCCCCGAGGAGAAGCAGACGAGCAGCCTTGGAGCAGGCAGAATATTTGCCCCGAGCCAAGCCTGGCGGGTGGCACTTGGGAGAAAACACTTCCAGGATGGACCAGCAACCTGTCCCTCCAGGGAAGCATGACCAGAGGGTGACAAGGTCTCTAACCGAGCTCACCAGTGATCATCCCAGATGGCCGCAGCAAACAACAATGTTGCCCTGCTGGCATCTCGAAGAGGCTTGAAGAAGCAGACCTGCTGGAGGAGACAAAGAGCTCTCTCTGTAAAGCTGCTGATGTCAGCTTAAACATGTGCAACCTCTGTGATTTGCCTGTCCCGCATCACCGCCTGGATGACCATGATCCAGAGGATCACTTGGCTCCGCCTCTCGCCATCCGTGTCCGAGAGGCTGCAGAAAGACCTGCTGGAGGGCCCCATCACCCCAGAGGCGCTGTTCGGGGCCAACTTCAGGACCATCCTTGAGGAATCGCAGAGGTCCGAGGAGGTCTCAGAGGCTGTACATCGTCTGGTGACATCACAGTCCATCTGCCCCTCTGGCCGCTGGAGGGACCGCCTTGGCCAGCAACGGCACCAGAGGTGCTCCACAGTTGTGGCAGCGATTTCACGCCCCACTCCTCCGCCGGCCCCCTCCACCAGGTAACAGATCCTTGAGGGGAAGGTATGTGTTTTTTTGATGATGTATGTTTTGATATAAAACAGAAACACCTCTGAAAGTTTTTTCATCTGAGTCTGTCAGATCAGCTGATCTCTCAGCTGCCTCTCTTCACACATTCCCCAAACAGATCGAGCGAGTAACCTCTAAACAGCGTTTTAAAAGGCACTGCAGTTCAATAAATATCACAACACTCGTCTGCCACATCAGCTAAAATGATGTTTTTTCAGCAGACCGAGTCTGGTAAAATTCCTCGTCTCTCAGCCAGAGCCTATTTTTAATTTCTGCTGTTTTTCTGCCCACTCACAGCGCAGCGGGGGTAAACACGTTTCTCCACGACAGCTGCAGCCTCCACCGAAACGGCGTCTCACTCAGAAGCGCTCACACCTCCTTCGGTGCGCGCCGACTCACCTCATCTCTATGTGAGACCGCAGCCTGGGCCCAGCACAGAGGCACACATACAGCCTTTTTTCTGTCGGAGCCCCCATTGGGTTCCCCTAGAGAACCTCCGGAGCAAGTGATGGCAGTAAGGATTTTTTAGTATGGTTGACTTTCATGAGAAACATGACAAAACACGAATGCGTGCCCACTCTCCGAGCACTTCTCAGAGTGGCAGCGAGTGTGTTCCCTGGACAGATGGATGGACTATCTGATCAGAAGGGGTTACACGCTACAGTTCGCAACTCAACCCCCACCATTTCAGAGGGATTATAGAGACGGTTCTGTCTTCTCCAGAACAGAGCTCATCTCTCCAGTCAGAAGTTCAGGAATTTCTGACGAAAAATGTGTTTTTCAGAGCTCCCAACAGCTGCTGGACTTCACCAGAACGACTGGTTTTTACCTCCATAGATCTGAAGAGTGCATATTTCACATTTTCATCATCCTGAAACACCCCACGCACGTTCTCGAAATGCGTGGAGACAGCTTTGCAGTCGTTACACGTGGCAGGAATGAGAAATCCTTTTATCTGGACGATCGGCTCTTATTAGCTCGGTCCAGTTAGAAAGCTGTCACATAGACCAAAACACTAGTGTTACACCTGCTAACCTGGGGTTTCTATAAACTGGAAAAAACTTCTGTTTGTCCGTCCAAGATGATTGTTTATCTGGAAGTGGAGCTAACTCAACTACATTGAGGGCCATTTATCACAGCTGAGAGCCGAAGCTCTGTCAGCTCAGCTCCACTGTGTCAAACCCGGCTCCGCCGTGTTAAACCCTGTACCATAGTGACAGTTCTACCTGTCATGCGACTCCTGGGAAGATGTCAGCGGCCCACATTGTGGTTCCGTTGGACCTACTTCACATGAGACGCCTTCAGAGATGGTTCGCCCGCCTGCGCATAGATCCTGTGCGCCAGAAGAGGTGGATTATCTTTGTGCCCCCCTCCGTGAGAAATTTCTGAATCACTGGGGAAACCTCCTCATTCTGTCAGAGGGAGTTCCCAATAGCAGACCTACGTCACACGTCTCACTTTTCACAGACGCGTTCCTGTCAAGCTGGGAGGAATGTGTCTGTCCCAAGCAGTGGGATCACAGTGGCTGGACCACATGTCGCTTCACATAAATGTGCTAGAATGTTTTTTTCACGGTCTGAAACGTGATTCAGCATTTTGCCCCTGCTGCGGGATCAGCATGTTCTGATCCACACAGACAACAAATGACGACAGCTTACATACACCGTCAGGGAGGTGTGCGCTCAGCCCAACTGTTATGCATCGCGAAACAGCTGTTGTGTTGGCTGCACAGGAACCTGCTCTCCATCAGAGCAGTGTACTTTCCCAGCGTTCCTGAACAGGCGAGCGGATATCATGTCGAGGGGCGGTCCCCGCCACAGAGACTAGAGCCTCCATCCCGAGCTGTTTTTCTCGTTTTTTTGGAGCAGTTTTTGGTCGAGCAGCAGTGGATCTGTAAGCCACAAGGGAGAACGCCCATTGCTAATTATGGTTTTCACTGAGCCCACGAGACGACCCACCGTTAGGAGTGGATGCCTTCGCTTACAGCCCGTGGCCAAAAAATGCTCCTTTATGCATTCCCTTCAGTCCTGCTGATATCACGGACCCTGGACCGGGTCCGGGAGGAAGAACTGTCAGTCATCCTCATAGCTCCTGAATGCATATGCGCTCCGTGGTTCCCGAATCTGCAGCGACTGATATCGGGTCAGCTGTGGAAACTGTTTTGAGGGGGCACTCTCCTCCAGGCAGGAAGAGCGATCAGGATTTACCCAGAAATAGGTCAGCATCTTTGGGTCTGTCTGCTGAACAGATCCGTTTAGAAAAGATGGGCCTCCTACAGCATGTGGTGCATATGTTCAGGGCGCACAAGCTGCTTTCACCACAACGTTGTACACATCAAGTGGACAGCTTTTCTCAGTGTTGGTGCACGGAGAAAGGTGTAGAGGCCATCTCATGTCCACTAGGTGGCATTCTGTCCTTTCTGCAGCAGCGAACAGGGATCTAGTGTTCAGCACAATTAAGACTTATGCTGCAGCTATTTCTCCCTGTCACAAGGTTTCGGTGACAGAACAGTTTTTAATCGCCCCTTGATGAAGCGCTTCCTGAAAGGTTTACGGAGACACAGACCGGTGTCACGTCCACTAGCTCCACAGTGAGACCTATTGATGGTCTTGCATGCTCTGATCAAAGCTCCTTGTGAGCCTTTAGATCAGGTTTTACTTAAATTTCTGTCATTTAAAACTGCCCTGCTGTTAGCTCTGACGTTGGCAAAGAGAGTGAATGATTGTCTGCTCTCTCTGTTGCTCCCTCATGTCTCAGAATTCAAGCTGACAGCAGTTCAGTTGTACTGCGTTTTAACCCTGCTCTGAAAAGCATCACAAGCTCACTCTGATTGAGAGTGATAACCTTGGATGGGTTTTTATCCTCTTCCTCATAATTCTAAGGAGGAAGCAACATCTCACCTCCTTCTGTCCTATGCGCGCATTTTTTCATGTTACGTGGTGCACACGACTGCACTGCGCCGTTTTCAGCGTATGTTGGTGTATTACTGGGACAGCTCTTCAGGACGTCCTCTACCCACCCAGCGCCTCTCACACTGGTTGTGTGAGGCTATTTCTGAAGCTTACAGTTCATCTGGACTCTATCCTCCAGAGAATCTCGGCGCATTCCACCAGAGGGTTTTCATCCTCCATGGCTCTGCATGGAGGGATGACAGTGGAGGATATTTGTATGGCGGCTGCCTGGTCATCATCATATTCAATTATTCGTTTTTATCTACGTGATGTTTCTACTTTCTCCATGACCCATTCTGTTCTCAGGGTTCTGACAGAATGATTATTATTTGTTTCATGGAGCTTCACTTTTGAGCTCACACCTGCCTGCATGCAGTCGCAATGTGAGATATTTATTATCAGTCACAAGTTCATGACTGCTGATTTTATCGTTATTAATCGGTTCATCCTGTGGAGCTGTTGGTCTGCTCTGTTCATCGTTACACTGCTACAATTTGTATCCTCCGTTGTTCCTATTCAAAGCAGCAGATCTGCTATCTCAGCCCTTTTCCTCACCAGAGATTTTCTCCAGTGTGCTCCTGCACATGGAGCACGCAATTACGCAGCGCGTAATTACGCACACAGAAGGCTGAGTGATGAAATTTATTTTGTGCAAGCAGGTGCTTCATGTTGTGTCTGAATGGACCCAGTGAGGCATAGACTACATCCTGCTTCGCCTTTAACCCACCAGCGACAGCCTTAAATGGCGAAGCCTATATGAAATAGAACATTGGTTACGTACTGTAACCCCAGATTCTATGAGTATAGGCGTAGCCCTTTAAGCGCGGGGCCTCACTGGTTCCTAAATGGCTGAAGAAAAAAGCTATTTGGTAGCCGATTCCTGGTCTCACCGTAATTTATACAGACCGGGGGAGAGGCCCACACAGCAGGTGGGCGTGGACAAAAGTTTTCAGTGCAGCGCTGAGCGCCTTAGAGATAAAACCCACCAGCAACAGCTCTTAAAGGGCTACGCCTATATTCATAGAATCTGGGGTTACAGTACGTAACCAACAATTTTCAGAAATGGTTTGAAAAACACTTTAATTTTACTGAGACTTCAGTTAAAGATTTGCCTATTTTCTCACAATTTTGAAATGCCAACTTAGCCCACTTGCAGCCCAGTGAAATAAAACCTTTAATTTTAAGGGGGAAAACAAAGAAAGAAAACAAACTGTAGCGATCACACATATTGTTTACACTCTAAAATTAAATGTTACTGGATCAACTTACCATTGTTGGCAGGGATGTGATGTTTCTGGTGGTCTTCAGGAATTTATCTCCAGAAATTTTTTGAAGTTCGGCAGACAGCTTTGTCTCCAGATCTTTTGTGGAGACAACCATGCTGAACTCACCATTTGCTAGAAGTTCTTTCAGCTTCTTTGCCACATTTTCCCCAGCATTTTTGAAGGCATAGTTGTTCAAAATCAGGGTGGCTGATTCCTCAACGATGGCTGGAACTAGGGTACGTAGGTGGATAATCTTGATAGCGGTAGCAAGAGCGTCTTCTGCATTAACAACCACATTTGGGGTTACTCCCATGAGCTCCCAGCTGGAGCCTGTAATGGGGTTGATGGACTTGGCAGTAGGTACAGTAACATAGAAGTCAGTGTCACCCACTTTGAATTTACTAAGTTTAATTGAACCTCCAGCTGTCTTCTCGCCCACAATGGTTGCCCTCTTCAAGTTCTGAAGGCAGTATGCAACATCTTCAGCAATGCCCTTTGTATTTTTACTTGTGAGGATGATCAGGGGCTTGTGTAGGCTGTATCTCTGTCCCAGCAGGGTGGGCAATGAAAAGAGCTTAGTGGTGGTGTTTGAGAGTCGGTCGTAAATGGTGTCAATGTGAATCAGAGGCTCAGCTTTGGTGAAGTAAGACACAATGTAGGAGATACCTGAAATATCCCCTCTGCTGGTGTAACGTAGATCAAATATTAGAGCAGAGGTGGGTAAGATTTTATTCCAGACTAGGTCGACAAGCAAAGGGCCAACCTTGTCAGCAGCCTCTTCTCCGAGGATGTTATCAATCCTCAAGTAGCCAATGTTGCCATCCAAAATGTCTAGCTTCATGGATGTCTGGAGAACAGCAACAAGCTGGTCAGGAGGCAGGGAAGGGATCTGTGGAAGAACAGCTGGAACGTAGTTTGGCTCATAGGTGACCCTCAGGCGAGGATCACTGATTGTGGTTTGGACTCCACCGCTCAAGACACTGGCCAACGATTCACTGTCTGGGATGTTAAGGACTTTGGTGTTGCTTGAAGCTGCTTCAATAGCCTCCTTCATCCCCACCAGCTTCTCTGGAGAGCAGTAACTGTCCATGACGATTTTTGCCAGATCCACAATAAGGCTGGGTGAAAATGATGCTTCCAAAAAAGAAACATTTGCTAAAATTAGTAGAGATGCCACCAAAAGATGAATTGTTGCCATTTTTGATCGTTTTATCAGACAAAAAGTCTGTGGACTTCAAGTGGAGCCAAACCTCGTTCTCCAAAGAGGTTCTTTGACAACTGGAGCTGCTTTGGCAGCAAGGTTTTTGTTAACACATTCATAAGAGGATTTACTCCACAAAACGTCTAATAGTATTACCCCAAGGATTTCTGTAAGACAAGTATGAAATATTGATGTAACAGCAAAAGAGTTTTGGCAGAAATTGTGGTATTTACGTAACGTAGTCTGGTCAGGTGTTAAAGGTCTCTTGTGCCGGATTAAACAACGTTTTATAACTTGGAAAAATCCAGAAGGAAATTAAAGGCCTAGTATTGTTTGAAGGAACAGAAATCTCCTGCTGCCTTTCATGCCAGAGTTTTGACTATAATAATCATAAATATATGTATTAAGATAAAAAATGAAGGTGCAGCCATTTTATGTAAGTCTTGCATAATTCACAATAACTTGTAGATTATGTTGTGATTTCCATTCAACTACCACATAAAAGTTAGCTCAGAATCTAAAAAGTGGCAGTTATAGACATTTTTGGTACATTGGTGCTTGAAAGTTTGTGAACCCTTTGAAATGTTCTAGATTTCTGCATAAATCAGCATCATCAGATGTTCACAGCAGTCCTAAAAATAGAGAACCCAGTTAAACAAATGAGACAAAATATTAAACTTGTTCATTTATTTATTGAGGAATTCAATATTACATATTTGTGATGGTAAAAGTATGTGAACCTCTAGGATTATTAGATAATCTGAAGGTGAAATTAGAGTCAGGTGTTTTCAATCAGTAGAAGATGATCAGGTTTGACACCCTGTTTGATTTAAAGAACAGGATCTATCAAAGTCTGCTCTTCTAAACATGTTTGTGGAAGTGGATCATGAAGGAACAAAGGAGATTTCTGAGGAGCTCAGAAAAAGAGTTGTTGATGCTCATCAGGCTGGAAAATGTTACAAAACATCTGTAAAGAGTTTGGACTCCACCAATCCACAGTCACACAGATTGTGAACAAATGGAGGAACTTCAAGAGCATTGTTACCCTCCCCAGGAGTGGTGGACCATCAAAGATCACTCCAAGGTGTGGAATAGTCTGTGAGGTCACAGAGGACCTCAGGGTAACTTCTAACAACTGAAGGTCTCTCTCACATTGACTCATGTCGATGTTCATGAGTCCACCATCAGGAGAACTCTGAACAACAATGGTTCATGGCAGGTTGAAGGAGAAACACACTGCTCTTCAAAAACAACATGGCTGCTCATCTGCGGTTTGATAAAGATCACGTGGACAAGACAGAAGACTGTTGGATGAATGTTTTGTGGACGATGAGACCAAAATAAACTTTTTGGTTTAAATGAAAAGAGTTATGTTTGGAGAAAGAAAACTGCATTCCTGCAGAAGAACCTGATCCCATCTGTGGAACATGGTGGAGGTAGTATCATGGTTTGGGCCTGTCTTGATACATCTGGACCAGGATGGCTTGTCATCATTGATGGAACAATGAATTCTGAATTATATCAGAGAATTCTAAAGGAAGATGTTAGAACATCTGTTTGTGAACTGGATCTAAGAGAAGGTGGGTCATGCAGCAACACAATGACCCTAAACACACAAGTAGTTCTACCAAAGAATGTTCAAGAAGAATAAAGTTCATGTTTTGGAACGGACAAGTCAAAGTCCTGACCTTAATCTAATCCAGATGTTGTGGAAGGACCTGAAGCAGCAGTTAATGTGAGGAAACCACCATCATCCAGAGTTGAAGATGTTCTGTACAGAGGAATGGAGAAAAGTCCTCCAAGGTGATCAGGACTGACCAACAGTTACAGAAATGTTTAGTTGAAGTTACTGCTGCATGCTGGGGTCACACCAGAGACTGAGAGCAAAGGTTCACATACTTTTACCATCACAAATATGTAGTCCATCCATCTATTATCTTTTACCCGCTTCTTCCATTTTGGGTCACGGGGTTTGCCGGTGCCCATGTCCACCACTGTGCGAGACCTAAGTTAAGTTGCCCCCCCGACCACCTTCTTAAAATCTAACAAAATTGGTGTCAAACATTTGTGCTGGTTTGTGCAGCCATCATTTTAAAGATATTCATAAATTTTTCCAGAGGTCAACAAGTACATAAGAAGTGTGTTTGATAGCACCCCCTGGTGATCAGAAAACAAAATACAGGTCATTGGTTTTGTTTTTTGGAGGTGTACTAGTTCAAAATGAATTTTATCCATGTTAAAATTAATCTATTCATATTCATAGTTCAGCATCTAAGCATTTTTAAATGAAATTCACTGTTCCAATATGAACAGATTTTCATTGACCTTTGATGACCTCTGGAAACTTTTTCATTAATATCTTTAAAATGATAGAGGCACAAATGAAAAATGTTGCTGCATAAAGCAGCACAAACATTTGACACCAATTTTGTTAGATCTGAAGAAGGTGTGTGTGTGTGTGTGGGGGGGGGGGGGGGGGGGGGGTGGGGGGGGGGGGGGTTGGTTGCGCAACTTCATGGGCCGGGTACACCCTGGACAGGTCAATAAATAAATGATCAAGTATAATAATTTGTCTCATTTGTTTAACTGGGTTCTCTTTATCTACTTTTAGGACTTGTGTGAAAATCTAGTGATGTTTTAGGTCATATTTATGCAGAAATAAAAAAATTATAAAGAGTTCACAAACATTCAAACACCACTGTATAAGCTATGGTTGATTAGCTTGAATTGGGCTGACTTCAAAAGTTAATCAATTGTAGATGTACATCAAATAATTTAATCTGTTTAGATTAGATTAGAGTAGATAAAACTTTATTGATCCCTTGGGAAGATTCCTTTAAGGAAATTAAAATTCCAGCATCATTGTACGGGTGGTAGATAAAAAAAATAAATAAAAAAAGGGACAGTAAGTATAAATAATGGAAAGTAAAATAAATAAATAAATGTTAATAAAATTAAAATGAATAAAAATTAGCACAGAGATATGACAGTAAATATTACTATATAACCAGTTACTGGCTATTTTAAAGTGGTGGCTGCTGCTCCTTCCCATCCTCTGTCCTCCTGTACCCCTGCTCAGTGAGAAGTTTTTACTAATGATGTGGACAAGTGAACACACACGTGCACATACGAAGATATTGCCTCCACCTTCTGGAGTCAAATGTGGTAAGAAATAATCACACATTACTCGTAGATCAGTCCTTTTTTCCCAGAATGTGTAAATTCGAGTCACAGTAGTGTCAAATGAGTTTTATTTATTGAACATTTATTTAAGCAGGCAAATACCATTGAGTTCAATGGTCTCTTTTTCAAAGGAGGCCTGGGCCTGAAGGCAGCTTAAACATATGTAACCAAGTAAACTGATGACTTTAATGCATTTTTAAAAAGAAAGATGGAAATAAAATCTAAACCAGAATATTGTGAAAACAAACTGAACTCATGTTTGTCCAGATCATTCCTGCAAGGTTAAAGAACAATCATCTGTTATGTTAATGCAACAGCCTGACTGTACACAGTTAATAGCTCTTGGTGAGATCAGTTTAGTTTGTTTGGAAAGTGCCCCCTCTGCAGGTACATTGAGCTGTTAGACAACAGAAAAGTTCTACCTACCTACAGGCCTGAAAAGAAGTGAAAATAAAAATATACTCTAACAAAACAGGGATTCCACATGACAGGTACAAATAATACATTTGCAGTGTTATCACTAGAGAAACCAAAGAAATTCACAACAAACAAATATATGAATATAATGTTAATTCATTCAACCTTTATTTATACAGGTTAATCCCATTGAGCCCAATAAACTTCAGTTGTAATTATTGCATGCAGTACACTGATGTCTCCCGTCGCTGATGGATTTGAATGGTGAATGTTTGAGTATTTCACAGGACTACAATTTAACAGGGAATGCAAGCAAGCCTTAATGTTTTGGGTGCAAGATGTTCGATTGGGTAAGAGATACATTGTGTAAGAACAAAGGGAGTTTTTTTTTTTTTTTTTGTCTATGACTGTGCAACGTCACAGAGCCTGGCACGTGAAAGGAGAAAATTTATTCACTACCAGGTGCAATGGTAGAACCAGATGGTGGTCAATGCATATACAGGTGCTGGTCATAAAATTAGAATGTCATGAAAAAATTGATTTATTTCATTAATTCCATTCAAAAAGTCAAACTTGTATATTATATTAATTCATTACACACAGACTGATACAGGTCCTTCTCAAAAAATTTGCATATTGTGATAAAGGTAATTATTTTCCATAATGTAATGATAAAAATGAAACTTTCATATATTTCAGATTCATTGCACACCAACTGAAATATTTCAGGTCTTTAATTGTTTTAATACTGATGATTATGGCATACAGCTCATGAAAACTCAAAATGCCTGTCCCAAAAAATTAGCATATCATGAAAAGGTTCTCTAAACAAGCTATTAACCTAACCATCTGAATCAACGACGTAACTCTAAACACCTGCAAAAGATTCCTGAGGCTTTTAAAAACTCCCAGTCTTGTTCATTACTCAAAACCGCAATCATGGGTAAGACTGCCGACCTGACTGCTGCCCAGAAGGCCATCATTGACACCCTCAAGCAAGAGGGTAAGACACAGAAAGAAATTGCTGAACGAATAGGCTGTTCCCAGAGTGCTGTATCAAGGCACCTCAGCAGGAAGTCTGTGGGAAGAGAAAAGTGTGGCAGAAAACGCTGCACAACGAGAAGAGGTGACCGGACCCTGAGGAGGATTGTGGAGAAGGGCCGATTCCAGACCTTGGGGGACCTGCGGAAGCAGTGGACTGAGTCTGGAGTAGAAACATCCAGAGCCACCGTGCACAGGCGTGTGCAGGAAATGGGCTACAGGTGCCGCATTCCCCAGGTCAAGCCACTTTTGAACAAGAGACTGCGTCAGAAGCATCTCACCTGGGACTGCTGCTGAGTGGTCCAAAGTTATGTTCTCTGATTACAGTAAATTTTGCATTTGCTTTGGAAATCAAGGTCCCA